AGCCTAATTGATTCTACAGTTGATAAAATTCATTTTTTTCTCATTAATCTACACTCAGTATCCCATAATGACAAAGTGAAAACAGAATCTTCAGTGCAGCAGAAATTTTATTGTGGCTTTCCCCAGATCTGTGGCTTGCAATAATCCTGTCTCTGAGCTCTGCAGACAAGTTCCTTTGACCTCGTGGCTTTTGCTCTGCTCAGTATGCATTGTCAGCTGTGAGGCCTTCTATAGCGAGGTGTGTACCTTTCCAAATCATGTCCAGTCAATTTAATTTACCACAGGTGGATTTCTTTCAAGACGTAGAAATATGCCAGCAACAATCAAGAGAAATGGGAGGCACCTTCAAGTGTTGTTGCAAAGGGTCTGAATACTTATGCCAATGTGATATTTCAGGGTTTTTAAAAAATAAATTTACAGACATTTCAAAAATTCTGTTTTCACTTTGTCATTAATGAGAAAAAAATGAATTTCAACAACTGTAGAATCAGGCTGCAGCATAACAAAGTTGACAAAAGTGAAGGGGGTCTGAATACTTTCTGAATGTAATGTAAGTAGTGAGCTTATAGGCAGACTTTCTTTGGGCAGTAAATGCTCATCCTTCACTCTTTAGATGTTCTCCATCATCCCCCCAAAGCAAGCCATGGTCTGATTTAAATTAAAAGAAAATAAATTAGAGTCGAACTATAGAAAAAATCGTAACAGTAAAACTTAGGATAGTTCAACTAATTAACTAAGCTCATTGGAGGGATTCAAAATGTGTTCATGTTTTAGGAAGGTGTTATAATTGGGATCTTTGCATAAAACAGAGGGTTACCTTGAAAAAAAACCCCCAAAGAGTCATTTTCAACTGTGATTATACAATTTAACAATCATTTTGTTGACAATAAAATCTGGCATTTGAGCACAATTGAGTTGAGCATTCTTGGTAAAGAAGTAAGATATTAAGTAGCTGTTGCATGCTTTGCGAAATAAAACCTGAAAAGCACACAATTCACTTTGTGATATTAAAGAATAACTAATGTAGCATAATTCCAACTGAATAGGTAATTGATGACACTTAATGAGACAGGTTGATCCATCTGAATGGGTAGTTAAGAAGCCCAATCTGGTAAGAAGTTGCAGTTGAATTAGGATGGGGGAAAAAAAGACACTGAGAACTTCTGGCAGGAGTTTCACTTGTACAGGTTCCACTAAAGTCACTGAGATCCTTGTAGATACATAATAATAATAATAATAATAATAATAATAATAATAATAATAATAATAATAATAATAATAATAATAATAATAATAATAATAATAATAATAATAATAATAATAATAATAATAGTAAAGTTGGAAGGGACCTTGGAGGTCATCTAGTCCAACCCCCTGCTCAGGCAGGAAACCCTGTACCATTTCGGACAAATGGCTGTCCAGTCTCTTCTTAAAAGCCTCCAGTGTTGGAGCATTCACCGCTTCTGGAGGCAGGTTGTTCCACTGGTTAATTGTTCTAACTGTCAGGAAGTTTCTCCTTAGTTCTAGGTTGCTTCTCTCCTTGATTAGTTTCCACCCGTTGCTCTTGTCTTGCCTTGAGGCACCTTGGAAAATAGCTTGACTCCCTCTTCTTTGTGGCAGCCCCTGAGATATTGGAATACTGCTATCATGTCCCCCCTCGTCCTTCTCTTCATTAAACTAGACATGCCCAATTCCAGCAGCCGTTCTTTATATGCTTTAGCCTCCAGTCCCCTAATCATCTTTGTTGCTCTTCTCTGTACTCTTTCTAGAGTCTCAACATCTTTTTTACATCGCGGTGACCAAAACTGGATGCAGTATTCCAAGTGTGGCCTTACCAAGGCATTGTAAAGTGGTATTAACACTTCACGTGATCTTGATTCTATCCCTCTGTTAATGCAGCCTAGCACTGTGTTGGCCTTTTTGGCAGCTGCAGTACACTGCTGGCTCATATTTAAGTGATTGTCCACTAGGACTCCGAGATCCCTCTCACAGTTACTACTATTGAGGAAGGTACCCCTTATACTATACCTGTGCACTTGGTTATGTTATGGAGTGCAGGAGGACTTTCTATTGGATTGCACCTGTGACTAGAAAGCAAGCTAGTGAAATAAACATAATATTCTAGTTGAAAAATAACCTTACAGATATAAGTACAGAATTCTCAACAGATAGTGTTTAGCCTCAGCCTAGACATCTTCATTGTGGAGACCTTGGCTGTGAAAAAAACTGGGATAAAAAAAAAATCAGCCTTGCTCCTCAAATGATACCTCACCATACAAACTGTGTCCCTTACGTAAGGGAGAGAGAGAGAGAGAGACAGAGAGTTCAATCTTAATAATCTTTCAGATGAACCTGGTTCTATTTGAAATACCAATATATGTACTGGCATTAAAAGTTTGATTCTTAGAAATGGGGAAATGATTTTTAAAAACCTAAAGAAAATATATATCCTGGATGTCCTTCTGGTAAGTGTGGTTGCTTTGTAAAAGATTTTTTTATAGATTTTAAGACAGGCTGTGCATGTCAGCTAAGGATTAAATACTTTATGGGTATATTTGCCTTTAAAGTAAGCTGTCATGGACTTACCTTTCCTCACTCAAAGGATGTTAATATTTAGAATATATTAGATTTCTGAAAGTTTCCAGTAGCAACCAAAAGTGGAAATCTCTTTCTAAAATTAAATATATAATTGAAAATAAGAAGTGGGGGACTCTTGAGTGAGATTATTTCAATTCAGATTCTGCACATTTCTGTACTGGAAATATGATTGCAAGAAACTTAATTCTTTAATCCTAAGTATGCCTTTTTTGCACTTGGCTCTGTTGGTGGATCTTTGGTTTCTGATAAAAAAAACAAGCTACAAAACTCAGAATTGATCCAGCTAATGCATCAGAATTGTTCGTTCTCATGCAACAATGACATCAGTTACAGTATTTATTACATCTTGTGGATAAATCTTCTAGACTTTCAGCCCCGTCAACCCATTAGTGATATCCAGAAAGAGATAGATCTGTGTGGCTATGACCTAAAATTTTATACAAAAATATTTTTATTAAAATTATACGCCACCCATCTCACTATCGAGTGACTAAAATGGCCTTGTCTGCCTAATTGCTAGCCAAGGAAGTCATGGTAACCTTACAGTAGTACTTCTATCTATAATTTGGAAGAATATCAATGAAGTTAATCTTTAAGTAAAAACATTTAGAGCCAGGATATTAAGAAGTATCCCTCCGTAGAACAGAATAATCTGATATTGGTTTTTTTATATAAATAGTGGTGCTCTATTTTCATTTACAAGAATAATTTAACTATACATTAATATGGAGTGGTAGATGAAAAGCTGCTTTTAAGAAAGTCAGTTGTAACAGCAACTTAATGGCAAATTAGAAACATGAGTTTGTCTTATTGTGAATGACAATTTAAGAACATATCGCCTGTTAACTCCTCTGTACCCTCACATGTAAGCTGGGGACAATGACAACCTCTTACAAGGACTCTCTTCACACCTCCATTCTTTTGGTGTGTTATCTTAGAGAGATTATATAGCATATTTTAACAATATTCAGCACTAAACTAACTCATGCCACTTGGGCCATATTAACATGATGAGACAGTTTTATGTTTGTGACACGTCAGACCCTATCGAGAAACTTAGTTATCATAGCTTGATAAGGTTACTATACCTTATTGAACTCATTCTAAAAACAACATCAGCACTGTTGCAATTGGGCTTTTAAAATGACCTTGGTTGCTTCATCCATTAAAGTAGTACTACTTACTCCTGGACTTCATTTATTTTAAGTTATACTGAGAACAGAGGAAGTCTCCATTTAAAATAATCAGAAACTACTCAAGAGCACCCACATTTTTCACTGGAAGTGTTCTGATGAAATGTGCTTAGAATCTTAATAATTCAATAAATAATTATTATTAGGCAAGTTGAATTTCTTAGCATCTTTAAAACGGAATTTAATAAAGGACTCTATATTTAATTTGTATGGAAATCATTAGGTCTGTAACCTCTTCTTAACCCATAAAAGGTGAAGTAATTCTGGTCAAAGGTATGTGAAGGGTGCCTTCTTCTGAGTGCTGAAGATACAGAGTTAAAAGACCCAGGGCAATATCTCCCATCTCACACTCTATAACAGGGGTGTTAAACTGCCGGCCAGCAGGCTGGATGCATCATGGTGAAACTGCGTCCACCCCATTGCGATGCGTCGTGACATGTCACGTGACGTTGCGAGTTTGATACCCCTGCTCTATAATTACTACTGTAACTAAATAGTAAGCCAAAAATCCAGTTGTTCAATTGTAATTTAAGTGCCACAACAGAGTTAGAAAGAAGAGCTAAAAGATGAAAAATCTTTCATTCTGTGAATGCTTGAGGTTCTATTTGATCTGCACTTTAGCCCTATGTAGGTTCACACAGATACTTGAACATAGTTATATTTTGATGTGGGGGCACATCATTGTTGCAACTGTTTTCAGATCAGATATGTCAACCTATACATATATATGTCAACATACAGTATATATTAAAAAATGTGTATTTTATTTCATTAAAAAGGTACATTTTGTGTAGTTTAAAAATGTCCAAATTGTTCCTTCCTATTTCTGTGTAAAACACATAAACAAGTGTATGTGGAGAGATAATAAATTGATTGCTCAGCCTTCCTTTGACTTGTGTTATGCAGCAGATTGATTGGATTGCTGGTCATTATTTTAATTATGGCAATGCTCACCAAATGAAGGGAATATATATGAAGCAGCAATACAGAATACTGCTGAATCTTTGTATGTCCCCATTCATTCTTAGCCCTTTGCTTCCAGATTATTAACTTTGTCACACTTTAATTTTGTTCTAATGAAAAGTGTGTTCATTTCAAGGCATACAAATAGTTCTGAAGTTAAAGTCGAATTGCTAACAATATCACAGATTGCAGTTTAAATAAGGAAGACACGGTGAGATTCTTTTCAAGAATAAGTCTGCACACATGCATTTTAGAATATACATTTATTATTGAGGAAGCTTGCTTACAAAGTGATTAAGATCAAATGGTAAACAACGGATTGCAAATATATGAGACGACAGTTGTAAATCAAGATTGTGAACCTTTTCACACATTGTACCACAGATTACGTTATGCATCAGAAATGGACTTGCAATTACAGAATGAGTTGCAAGAGCCTTGCAAGTTGCTGCAATTAGAACTAGTCATTCTGTAGGGTCCTTGGTATTCTCTGAGTTGGTTATTTACTTGCAGATCTTTATTATCCAATTATCATCAGTGCACAGTGAACATCATGAAATATCTGTAAAACCAAGAGAGCACCAAGGGCCTCACAGTTCAACTGTTCTCAAAATATTCTCTTCTATTAGCACAGGCCATTCTATACTCTCTCTCCTACTCTTCTTTCAAAGTACAGTTCTGATAAAAGAGCATGCCCGATCTTTTATTGTCCTGGTTTTTGTTTTTTTTTGTCATCTATTACTTCCATGACGGTTTTAGTTGTTGCTACTATTCTCCAACCTTGGGATTTTCTTGAGCATGCTAATACTCTCTGCTGCTTCTCTCCAATTCTACCAGCACTAAATGTCTGAGTCTGTTACCAGGAGTGATAACATTATTTTTCAGTAATGCCAAATCCTTTTGTTCTACATTCTGGAAAAAGTTTTCAGTGTTCTGAGAAGATTATAAATATAAAATCCTCTATGCAAATACATAAAAAATGGAACAGAGTATGGAAAATGAACTATTTATTAACAATAATGACTAAAAATAGACTCCAAGGACTTTGCTGAGAAGACCTGCTTATTTTACATCAGAATTCACAAAACAGAGGCGATAGCACTGCTTCCAAATTAGACCCCAGATTCCTTTTCACACCTTGTAAGTGATATATTTTGGGACACCAACCTCTGCAGAGACAGAATGTTCACGATGTACTTTTCCAAACTGGATCTGGTGAGTTTTACCACTCATTTCATCTCCTCGACTTTTTTTCTCTCAGAATCTTTTTGCTTTCCTCCCTTCTCCTCTTATTAACAGGGTTACGAGGATCATAAATTTCAAATGTGTCTTCATCTTGTACATTTGCATCTTTTACTTTTCTGGTTTTATCCTCAAAGTGGAGCACATGTGACATCCTACGAGGTTTAAAAAAAAAAAGACATTGTAGCTGGACAAACTTTAGATACTGTAAGCAAATAAAGCCTCAACAAAACATTACTTCCACACAGAACATCATAAAAAGTCTTACCCCCCAAAATTGCATACAATGAAAGACATTTGAATTCTTGTGACTCCTGGATCAATTTCTACCAAAAACAACTTGGACATTTCATTCCCTCTTCCTTTGGAAACCCCATCTCCACCCTTGCCACCATCCTGTTTATTTTTTTGTCAATAAATAGAATAAAACACCAACAAAGAACAAATCCCATTTGTTACAGCTTTATCCTGGGGTTGTGAAGCATATTCCAGATGCACAGGATCATGAATGTGGTACCTGTCCAAAATCTCTTGAAGCAGCCATGACTTTTCCCGGAACTGCATATCAGCTCTACAGAAGGAAGCTGGATGATTCTACTACGGAAAAAGCTCAGCCTACTAAACTGCTGCAGACAAGAAGCTGCATGTGTGGCCCTGCATATTACAAAGTGCTTTCTTGAGGTGGTATTGAAGCATTGCAAGGTCTACTGTACATAAATATGTATATGTTAAAGTCCAGATCAAATGAATGGAGATTCCATTTTAAAACCTCCAAGCAATTAACTGGAATTGCTATGAAAGACCACCATATCTATTTTTGTTGGCTTCAGAATATCCATCAAATATTGTTGGTGTTTTGTTTTGTTTTGCTTTGACATCTAGCCCTATTTATGATTGCATACTCAATGGCTGAATCACCTCTCATTACTTTCTCTCCCTGATCTCAACTAAGTTCCTCCACAGACCACGTGTTTTTATTCTTAGGGCCAAGTTTGCCCAAGCAAATACATATGAAAAAGGACCTCACAATAAATTCTCAATTCTCTTGTGTATATAGTCTGTACCACTTATGTGCATTTAGACTATGGCCATTAACATTTTTATGGCTTTTGATAATTATGCTTGTCCCCCACATCAGTTTATATTTTGCTGGTCCTTCAGGCTTTAAATATCAATTACTGGAGAAGATTGTATAATTTTGGTAACAAAAAAATTTGCATTGAATTATGCTGTGTCTCTACCCTCCTATTTAAGATTTTTTCTTTTAAATGTTGGCTCCTCACAGTAGATCTTTAGCCTAAACAAAATGATGGCCACTATAAGTCATACCTGCCTATATTAGGCAGAATTTGATATGATGATTTCACAGAGGTTATAGGGCTGCATAAATCATTCCACAGAGATTATTCACAAAACACTTTAGTGTGAATGAAGCGTTTCCTTCTAAAGTATTCCTGTAGCTACATCCTTGCTCCATAGTTGTTTCAAAAGTGGTTGCAGCTGCCTCCACAGGCATGTGCCAGTTTGATCTACTGGTGAAGGCATCAAGCTAGAAACTGAGAGACCAGAAATTCTAGTTGTGTCTTAGGCATGAAATCCAGCTGGGTGATTTTGATTTGATTTGGGCCAATCATTCTCTCTCAGCCCAATCCACCCCACAGAGTTGTTGTGTGGAAAACAGGACAAGGAAGGAATATTAGGTATGTTCACATTCTTGAGTTATTTATAAAAAAATTAATGAAGGCAAGATAAAAATAAGCAAAATGTGCATATAATCACTTCATTGGCAAGCTCAGCTGAAACTCACTGATCAGCGAGTGTAAATGTTCATGCTAATAACTGGGGACTTTTTCCCACAAAGCTTGTAAAGATGTGGTTGCTTTAACACACCACTGGAAAAAGATTTATGTTAATTAAGGCCTAATAAAAAGTAGTGCTTGAATTTGTACCATTCTCCTAAACAATGTTATGATTTTGCTTTTTCTTAGTTGTTCAGAAGCTCTTAATTAATTCTCCTTTAAAGATATTCTTTTTGATATAATATAGATAGTAAATATATAATGCAATAAAAAGAAACCAAACTTAACTAAGAAACAGATAGACAGGCTATTTATTCAATATTAAATGTTGAATTATTCAATATTAGCTTGCATATAAAAGCTATTCCAAAAAAGACATGAAAATAACAAGACACCAAGTCTCCCAGAAAAGTCTTAGAAATAATGACACTGTTACCAGTTAGGAATGTCTTTCAACTACTCTATTAATTACATTGCTTTGTTCTATCGTTTCTCATGAATGCTTCAATTAAAAAATTGCCAAGACTTCTGTAGCTGGTAAAGAATTCTTCTGGGGCACACTCCTTACAATCAATTTGAGTGTATAAACCCAGATTAATTGAGCAGTCTATAAATACAAAATTAAATATAATATTGCTTCTTAATACAAATATTTTGTAGCCATCTTTGTATTAACTCTATTTAATCAAGTTTCAAAGATATAAAGGCTATAAGCTTGCTGGGAGTATTCCCTATCTTCGAGATAAGGAGATGGCTTCGAGATGCATGAAAACCTGGAATAGATTAACATATAAATTCTGATTTTATTAGTAGGTGAAGCATATGCACACATAAAAATCTTTCATATATGCTTCAGAGATGGGCTCAGGCAAAGAAGGTTTTTAAAACAAAGTAATATAAGACCATGGTAAGCAAAACTGTTCGCACAAAGAAAAACTGCAAACTGAGTAAGGATTTAGGCACCTCCATTATCTTGGTTGCAATCTGAGAGAAAAATCAGAAGATGGAATTGCAATCTATATCTCTGTTTCTAATTACCTTCTAAAATAGCCCTTCACAACTCTAGGTAGCCACCAGAGGCTTTTGAGTTCATCTTCTATAGTTGCTTAGCCAGCATGACCATTAGGGGAATTTGAGCATAGCTTATCTACAAGCCACATGGTTGGGAGAAGGACAGCCTAAGACAGGGTATTCAACCAGACACAGAAAACTCCACAGGTAAGGCTGCATGCTTGAGGAAGTTTTATCTCCTAACAAACAGCTGTTTAAAGCAGAAGACAGATCTCTTGCTGAGATTGTTACTTTTTCAACAGAAGAACGAAACCTACAAAATCAAGCTTTCCTGCCATAGCTAGGGAAAATCTTTAGTTATTAAGCAGTCACTGTTCCAGCAACATTCCTCTAAGTAAGTGCTGAGAAGACTCAGCTCAATATCTTTTTTTAAAAAAAACCCTTATTTTCTATAGATCTTCAAAGTACCGGTATTTAAGGCACTTTTACAGTATTTATCTGGTGTCAGTATCTGACATTTCATATATTTATCTTTTGAACTTGTACAACTTCAAGAAACATTACTGTGCAGCTGGCGCTTATCTACAGAAGTTTACATCAGGTCATGTTCCAATTTTGCAACACATAAAACTGAAAGTTACAAAGTAAGTTAGTCATTTTATTTTGTTAGGATGTTTTAAAATTCCATTTTGTACTTTTTAAGAAGTACAACTTATAACATTTTACAAAGAAGTTACTTGCAGTATTTTTTTTTCCCAAATATGTCTTGCTAAAATCACTTAGAATTAGCATCACTTTTTCACAGCAATAGTTATAGTAACTTAAATCCGAGCTCCTCCTCCATAGGTTAACATAAATAAGAAATATAAAATCAGTAATTAAAAAAACATATAGACTAGGATACAAATTATTTTAAGACAAGAGATGGTGATTCTAGCCTAACCTATTAAACAACTCCTTAAATGAGTGAGAACCTGAAGAGGTGGTTCACCTGATGGGAATAATCAAATGGAGCCAGAACATAATGCAGAGACACAGAGAAGAAAGAAAAGAGCAACCATCCCAAAATTCATTCCACAGATACAAAACAATCAGCCCAAAGTGATAGAGCCAAATATGCCCTAAGTCCTTCAGACACTGATCACTGACAAGATGAGCTAACATCTCTAAAAAAGCTACCATGTTTTCATTATTAATACTCCCTTATCATTTAAGAAATATAATATGCTATTTGCCTCTGCTGAAAGTAAGTTATCAAGATAGCATGATGCTAGCAATAGGAAAAATACTAATAAAGAATATAATATTGTATTATTTTCAACATAACAATAGAGGTAGGCAACTTAACTGACAACTGTTACAACTGCTGGAAGCTGTTGATCTGAGCACCCCCCAATCTCCTCATTCCCCCAACTTGCTCCCTTCTCACCAAAGCGCTTCTGGATCTGCCAGAACGTTAAAAACATGTAAGTGATAACATCAAGTTAGTTGTATTATTGTGTATTTCAGGCCTAGCAGAAGAGGTCTGCCTTTCTCAAAAGAGAGTTAGTGAATACCCCTATTTGGCCAAATATTGAGATATTTAAGGGGGAAAGGGGGAAAACTTCATTTCTTGTCACATGACCTGGATGCATATACAAGTCAACCACCCTCCCACACTGTCTGCCTCTGGATGAGATCATAATTATACTGCCAGGAAGATGCATAGCTTTAGTCAACAGGCTGCTCTACAGAAACTACAAAGACCGTACAATAAACAACAAAGGTTTTGTGCTGTTTTATTCTGTATGCCCGCAAAGTATATTAAAGTTGGAGACACAACCATAAGCTTTGCCTAAACAAACAGATGCACACATAAAACAAAGGCTGGTTAGAACTATGCCCCTTGTGCAATGCCGAGATAAACAACACAAAGCAACAGATAACGGAGAAAATCTACAAATCACTTCCATATTTAAAATCAAATTAGTTTAGCATGATTAATTACATTGCAAAATACACAAAAGACGACTATTGTAAATAATCAGCTCTATATTTCATGTAGTATGTTAGGTTCACCCTGACAATGAGGCGTAATGAAAAAACAGCTGGCTTTTAAAACATTATGTCAGCCTTTGTCAGTGCTTCCAAAAATATATATTAAGAGGGTCTCTTGAAGTTTAAAGCTTAAAAAATGTTTAAAGTTTTGACTTTAAGGCTATATTTCTTACATAGAATCTAGGTCCTAAGAATGTTGTGGCGATGAGAGGGGGGCTTCTGCTATTTTCCCTACAATATTCTCTTCCTAATGTGTGGAATATAAGAAGTGTGTGGATTTAAAGTCCTAGGCATCACAGGAGATTTAT